ATAATTCTCTCAAAAAGCTTCCCCAGGATCGAGGTAAAGACTAACTGGCCTATAGTTTCCCGGGTCCTCCTTCCTCCCCTTTTCGAAGATGGGAACCACGCTGGCCCTCCTCCAGTCCTCTGGCACCACACCAGAGCACCACGAGCGCTCGTAAAGCCGTGCCAGGGGTCCCGCAATGACCTCAGCCAATTCCCACAGCACTCGGGGGTGGAGACTGTCCGGACCCACTGATTTAAATACATCCAGTCCCTCCAGAAGTTCCCTGACTAGATCCTCCCTGACCCTTGGCCTGGGTGCGCCTCCCCTGGGGCCTGAGGGGGTCCCAGAGGAGGGGTGACTGTTCTGGGCCCTGCTTGATGATAGGACCAGATGATAGGAACACCCCCTTTGGGCTCTAGCATCTGCTGCTCCACACAGAAGGTCAGTTTTGGTTGGCATTGCTTCTCCGACCACAGATGGGGGCACAGGCAAAAATCAAGGCAGCACCTAAAAGGTAAAAGAGACCCTTTGTATTCCCCTGGGACCTCTATTTGGGGGATAAAGACAACGGTTCTTCCAGTCTGCCTCCTGCCATTGGTCTGTCTTGCCTATTTAGACTGTGGGCTCTTTAGGGAGAGCAACTCTCTCTCACTATACCAGTGTACAGCACCATGAGGCTCTGGCTCTTGGCTGGGGCACCACTGTAATACAACAGATAACAGTAATGACTTTAATGCAGCAGAGTCCCCAGCAGCGACCAGTTTGCCATGCAGTTCTGCCACCCTCCTTCCTGCAGGAAGGGAGGTCCAGCCTTGAAACGGTTAACTCTGTCCTTCCCCCTATTTTCTTCTGTGAAGGTATTAAAATGTCACGGCTTGGCTGTATTGATAGTTGTTGATCTTTTGCGCTCTTCCAGGAATGCCTGGTATTTCTGCTCTCTCTTTGGAAACCGCTCCATCTATTTGCCACGGTGCAGCCCTCAGCTCTGATGAGCTCACGGCTCTCCAAAGGGTGTGGGATCGGGAGGAAATTCCCGAAGGCCCAAGGCTGTAGAGCGTGAAGTCACCGGCTCCCCCCAGCACTCCTCTCCCCATCCCCCAGGAATGTAGCTGGTGAGAAAGAACTGGGGTGGGGAAGAAAGTTCATCTCTTTAAAAAGAGAGAGAAGAGAAAGGCGGTGATAGTCACCCGGCAGTTTTGCCTTTTGATGGGACCAGCCCCCACCCCGCCACCCTCTTAATTGTGGCGCTTCAAAGGGTTGAAAATGCAACATCACTTCAAAGTAACAATTTTTCAATGGGAGCTTGTAAAACTCCCCCCGCTCCCGGCAGCCCCCGATGGAATTCTTTTCAAAGGCTTTTGAAGATGCCTGTGTTCCCCGTTGCAGCCGGTCTGAAAAGGCCACTGGGCGCCAGTAAGCAGGGTGCCAACTAGGCAAACAATCTTAAAGGGGGGGAAAAAAAAGCTGCTGTGAAAAGGTCATCTCCTTCATGGCTCCGGAGAGAAAGGGTTTTTTTTGGAAGGGGCATGGGGGAAGGAGAGAGGGAAGATTTCTTTAAGGAGGGATTTTCCCCCCACTGCCACCTCCTTCTTAAAGCAGAGTAAATAGGGCTGCCTTAGCTGTGTGAGACAGTGCTAAGATACGCAGAGCAGCTCTAAGGCAGTGGCACCCAGCGCAAGGGAATTGTGGGTCTCCCACGATCACGTGGCGCGGTGCTGGGCCTCACGGCATGCAGAGTGCAGGAAAACAAACCCCAGACACACCTTGACTGCAAGGCAAAC